CTGAACAAACCTCGGCCAATGCACAAGCGGATCTGAGATTACCACGCCTCCTCCCAGCCACCGCCAATCCCCGAACAGGCCACGTTGGTTCAGCTACCGCCAACGCTCGAGTCCTTCAGTAAACGCGGGGTGTCGACCCCACACAGCCGGTTAGCCTCAAACCAGAAACTGCCAGCATTCCCAAGGAGAAAGCTCGGCGAAAGACCCTGGGGCCATGGCTTAATTAAGGCCATCTGACTGCTAATCCCAATTGTATGCAGTAGTCGCTCGCAATGCCCTAGACGGCAGCCTGGTCCTGGCTGAGAGAAAGACCTCTAGTAGAGGGGCTTCTAGAACAGGGTTTCAGAGAGGAAGCACTGGAGTGCGCATCCGGAGTCACATTGAGGAATTGGGTACCAATGGGCCTTGAATGGTGGGAGGAGCTGCAGATGATGAGGCTAGACCAAAACACATAACGTGCTGAAATTTTGTTTTTATTCATAAATAAATGCATGGACACTTGGCATACAAAGATCAAGAAGCTATATTTCTATAGTTTGTCATATAAATGTTGACCAGGCACAGTGGCACAAGCCCCTCATCCCAGCACTTCGGAGACTGAGGCAGGAAAATCGCTGCAAGTTAGAAGTTAGCCGGAATCACAGAGTGAGACCCTGCATCCACTCAACCCTCCACCCTTCCCAAGTTATTCAAAAGTAATGTTTTCATAAAATGTTAACACTCATTAAGAAAACCTAGTTACATTCTCTTTTTAAATGTTGGTGAATTGGTAAACTTAGCAGATTCAACAGATTCGACAGTTGGAAACTGATCTCAGGCTAACTTGCTTTCAGCAAATTAGCGGCTTGCATTGCCAAAATGGGTATCTGCAAACATGAGGTGCCTACTGAGCCACTGCTGTTGCTATAGAATTCTGTGAATCACTGGCTGGAAATGAGGCATTTTCTACTAAATCTGGTAAAGACTGAAAAATTAGCAAAGGAAATCACTTCAAATCACATATTAGACCCAAGTTTGATATTTGGAAGCAATGGTGGGAAAAGTGGAATTCCAAAAGGACTCTCCTTTTATTGTCTATAGCACGGTTTTAGGTTCTCACAAAACTGGAAGGCAGACAGTACTGGGGCCCACTAATGATGTTTACCCATCACCTAGCCCTAGCTCAAAACTTTCGTGAATATATGTGGCATGTACTAAGTAAAAAATTCCATTAAGGTGGTATGTGTGTGTGTGTCTGTGTGTGTGTTCACTTATTTTAGCTCTGTGACTTTAAATAACTTAAGATTCCCTAAATGATGGGTAAAATGTCAGCACATATGAAGCCATACCAAAGCAGGCTTTCTGGAGCCACCCCAGCATTTCTGATTCCACAGATCTTCAGCAGGCCTGGGAACCAGCACCCAGGCAGTTCCCCTACACTGATGTGGAGGCTGGAATGTGGTCCACACTCAGTACTACTGAGTTACCTATAAAGGGCAGGAGGGGTCTCAAAATCCAGGCTGAAGGCAGAGCAGCGGAACAGTTCTAAACGCATGCTGTTTTGTGTGTCCTCTCGGGGGCTTAAACTTTTTGCCTTCAACCTACATTAAGAACGTTTAAGACAGCCCTTTTATACTATGGCAAAACAAAGCTCAGAAAGATTCGTAAAGGGCTGGAGAGATGGCTCCGTGGTTAAGAGCACTGGCTGCTCTTCCAGAGGTCCTGAGTTCAATTCCCAGCAACCACATGGTGGCTCACAGCCATGTGTAATGAGATCTGGCGCCCTCTTCTGGCCTGAAGTCATACATGGAGGCAGAATGTTGTATACATAAGAAGTAAATAAATAAATCTTTAAAAAAAAGAAAGATTCATAAAGAGTTCACCCACTGCATGTATACACCCAGTTGTTCATGCAGTCCATTCTTTTCTCTACCTTTAATGAAAAGAAAAACCATGCTAGTCATGACCTAGGGAACTGATTTGTTAACTCACACTAATGGTCAATCAGCAGAATGTGCCAGAGTCAGAGCTCACCTCCAGAAAAGCCCAGCTTCAGAAAGTATATTCCAGCTACCCAGAGGTAGACAAACTTGATAAGCAACTCATGAGCTCAGTAGAGTTGAGCATGAGATATCAGCTCAGGGGCTCTGGAGTCACACCCACCTCCAATATCCTCTAGGGAGGCACATGAAGCAATCCCAGAGTAGGGCTCCAAGTTTGGTTTAATTCATTGGTTCCGAACTCCAATGATTCGGTTTCTCCCAGCCGCCCTGCCTTTACCCAAAACTGTCTTCCATGCTGGCCACTGGACAGGACAGAAAAACCTTCCAATCCTTCCCCCCCCATCATTCCCATTAGTCCAGTCCCACTCCTGAGGCCATCTCTGGTGTGTAGGCAGACCTTCTCTGTCCTGCTGCTCAGTTCTGTCCCACCAGCCAGTTCCCCAAATAACCACACACAGACTTATGAATTATAAATGCTCGGCCAATAGCTAGAGCTTGTTACTAACTTGCTCTTACAACTTAAATCAACCCATATTTCTTATCCACGCTCTACCACATGGCAGTGCCTTTCTTCAGCACAGCTTGAGAATCTCCTGCTTCCCTGCATCAGGCTGGCAGGAAGACGTCTTCTTCATCCTGGAGCTCTCTTTTTGGTGCTCTATTTTGTCCACAAGTCTTGCCTATCCTCTACCTGCCTAGCGATTGGCCATTTAGACTTTTATTAATCCAATCAGAACGCACCTTGGCAGAGGCACATCTTCACAGCACACAAAAAGGTTATTCTAGAACAGTGCTGGTTTGAATAAGAAAGTTGAATGTTTGATAGTCAGTTGATGGAACTGTTTGGGAAGGACGGAGAGGTGTGGCCTTGATGGGGAGGTGTCAGTGAGGATGGGATCTGCTGTTTCAAAAGCCCTTCACATTCACTTAGTTTTCTCCCCCCACTCCTCTTTCTCTGCCTGTGATTTTTTTTTCTCAAAATGCAAGCTCTCAGCTACTGTTTCAGAGCCATGTCTGCCTGCCTGCTCTGTGTTCTCCTCTGTGATGGTCATGAACTCCTCCATCCTCTGTGACCCTGAGCCCCAAATTAAATGTTTTATTTTATAAGTTGCCTTGGTCATGGTATCTGAGCACAGCAATAGAAAAGTAACTGAGATACCATCACAGGGTGTGAGGCTTCACTGACACATGGGAGCATCCTGAGCTTACTCCCGGACCTGGGGATAGAGAAATGTACACCTGAGTGGGGGTGGCTCCTATAAACTGAGGAAGTAGAGTCAGTAGAAAAACAAACAAACAAAAGACTGACACTTAGCTAAAGGCTGACTGGACAGTTAGAACACTGAGACTGGAAAGAACTGGAAAGATCGTTTAATCCAGTTAAATGATCCTGGACTGTCTTTAATTCTCCTAACAGCCATTCATTGCCCACATCTTGGTCTCATAAAAGCCAGCACTCCTCTGGAACTCGTGAGGCCGGTTCCTCTCCACCAAAGAAACCATTTTACTCTCAGTCAGAAGGAACAAATAACAATCTGTGGTTCCTGGTAGTATACCAACGTACATGCTGGCCTCCAGGCTCCCTCAGTACACTAATCCCTGTTACACACTTCAGACTCCATGCTGGCATCCTGACTCTTCTCACGCTTACCCCAAACTTCTTCAGCTCAAGGGGTTCCCTCCCTCCAGCTTCTCATTGTCCTTATAACCCTGCCATTTCAGCTATGCTCTGTCTTTTCCCCCTTTCTTGGTCTTCTTCTGTTTTCCTCTCTTGCTCTCCCTCTTTCTCTCCTCTCGTGACCAAGTCCAACCTACTGGCCATATGTTGTCTACTACTTTCTCTCTCTGTCCCGGATTCTTCCAGATGCCTCTGGCTGTACTCTCCCTCACATCTACAACAAAAACCTTCAGCTGGGCAGTGGTGGCGCATGCCTTTAATCCCAGCACTCGGGAGGCAGAGGCAGGTGGATCTCTGTGAGTTCTAGACCAGCCTGGTCTACAGAGCTAGTTCCAGGACAGGCTCCAAAACCACAGAGAAACCCTGTCTTGAAAAAAAAAAATACACTAGCTGCCTTCAACACAAAAGCTAAGTGTCTGAAACCTATACCAGATCTCCCCATTTTTCTCTCACCCACTTATCTGATGTTTCCACTAATGTATCTGAGAAGTGCTTTCCTTTTGTTCTGTAGCTACAAACGCTAGTGAAACTTTCTACACTGGAACAAGCCATTTCAGGCAACTTGAGTCCTCGTTGCCAGCCATGGCCTTCATAGTTAACTCATTTCCTTTGAGGTTAGAACTGTTTTCTGGCCACACATTGTTTTCCTGTCCCAATAAAGCCAAGTCAGCTCCTTCCTTGGGGGGTCAAAAAGCTGAGGCAGCTGCTGGTAAGGCCTGCTCTGCACGGGCTGGCAGTGAGGCTGATCTGGCTGCAGATACTTTGAGGATTTAGCACAAGAGGAGGACCAGGCTACATTCGTGAACTGGGAGTCACCAACATCTACTAGCAGGAGGGGAGAGAGTAGGCCCATCTTTTTCCTTGTTGCCAAGATTTTTGATTACTGGGGTGCATGGAGTAATGGAAACTGACTTCAGGGTGCACGGAAATGAAACCAAATGTTCTCACTGCTATAATAAAATTGAAGCTGAGATGATCTATCTGTTCTTGGCTTTGAGTTGATGGTGCCGGAGGAAAATTACTCCTCTAAAATTCTGGGCATCAGAAAAAAAAATGGCTCTCATAGGCACTAAGTACCTCTATTTCTAATTTTAAAAATGGTTTTGTGATTGCTTGTATGAGCACTCATGTGCAGGGCAGAGAAAAACTTCCAAGAGTTGGTTCTCTCCATCCAACTGTGTGGGTCCCGGGAATAGAACTCAGATCAAGCTCGGCAACAGGTACCTTCACCCCCTGTGCCATCTCCATCTCCATGGCCTCACTAAATAACTCTAAATAAGCTTTGGGAAGTCGCAGCACCGACTTACGATTAAGTAAAAAAAGATATTCTGGTCTAGGAAGACGCGAATTCATTGTGGTAGTTTTATTGCATAGGAACCATGTTTTACAAAGGAAAAGTTGGGGGTGCCACGGAGCAATTTACTAGACAGCATTTAACGAAAGGAAATAAAGTTGCAACTGACAGGTGGCCTGCTGTCCTGGGCGGGGCCAGCCTCATAGCACTTACTAAACACGCCTGTCACCCGTTGTTCCCCGCCCCCTTACATCCACACCACCAATTCCTGGCCCCGCCCACTGTCAATTTAGCCAACGCCGAGCCTAGGCCAGGAGAGGCTCCGCCCCACGACGCGGTGAGGTCGCCTCCTAGCGGCCACAGCAAGGACTCCGCAAGCTGCGGCCCTCGGCTGACCCTCGGGTCGCTGGGGTCATGGGCACCTCCGAGACCGCACCGCCGCCGTTCGCGCGCATCGCCCCCGCGCTCTTCATCGGGAACGCGCGAGCCGCGGGCGCGACGGAGCTGCTGGTGCGCGCGGGCATCACTCTGTGCGTCAACGTCTCCCGCCAGCAGCCCGGACCGCGCGCGCCCGGAGTGGCCGAGCTGCGCGTGCCCGTGTTCGACGACCCGGCGGAAGACCTGCTGACGCACCTGGAGCCCACCTGTGCCGCCATGGAGGCCGCGGTGCGCGACGGCGGCGCCTGCCTCGTGTACTGCAAGAACGGCCGCAGCCGCTCGGCCGCCGTCTGCACCGCCTATCTCATGCGCCACCGCGGCCACAGCCTGGAGCGCGCCTTCCAGGTGCCAGCGTCCAGGGGCGGGTTTTCCGGGGCGGGCCCCCACATAGAGAGAGGTTCTTCCGGGGCGGGCGGGCCCCGCCCACCCTTCACCCTCCCTCGGGGCGGAGCCTCTGCGCCGGAGACTCCGTCTCGCTCACCGTAGCTTTCTTGATTGCAGATGGTGAAGTGCGCTCGCCCGGTAGCCGAACCCAATATGGGTTTCTGGGCTCAGCTGCAGAAGTTTGAACAGAACCTCCAGGCCCAGGCCCTTCTGCCCCGGGAACCCGCTGATCCCGAGTAAGCCGCCTCCTTCAGCGGCTGGGTGGCCAGGTGTCTACGCTGCAAGGCGTTTCTTCCCTCTTTTCAATAGGCAATGGCCTCGGGTTTTGCCCCCTCTTGGTGGCAGTCCAGGAGTGTTTACGGAAGAGGGGGGCTTCGTTTATTCAACAGGTTTGGGTCAAATACAAACCAGCGAAGTTTTAGGTAGAGAACTCGCGTTAGGGATCGATGAGTCTGGGGCGCCTACGAGAGTTGATAGGGAGTGACAGACCAGAGTCCTAGCTTGCTGTCTCCTCCCAGGGATTGCTTGGGCTTGCACGCAGAACTTCGTGCCCCCTGGACTTCTTTCTTGTCGTTTCTTAGGCAGGGGCTTAGAGTCTCCCAGCAGGAAGTCCGGGGCCCACCATCTTTAATCTTACAGCTGCTGTGCGGTGGGAGGAGGGCATCTGTCCACCTCCCCACCGCCTTACTTAACCACTTAACCTGTATCAATGCCTAGCCATTATACACTGTGTACCATCCTCCCCAGCTGGCAGGCAGGCCAGTCAGTTGTCACCTTGTGTTGCTTGCTCGGCTAGTTCAGACACAGCCTCTTAGACATTGTTTCCTTAAGAGCCCTGGAAACTTAGTTACCATTTAAAGAAGTAGTGAGGGAAGAGCAAAGAAAAACCCGGGCTAGGTGTGTGAATTACAGATGTGTGGCCACTGGCAAATTTGCCAACAAATATAATCCGTGAATAAAATCCCAGAGTTGATATTTATGGTTTCCCTTTTCTACTTCTCCCTGCTTATGGTCTCTGGGACCCGAGTAGTCCATTTGCATCAGCTTCTTGAAGGTCGTGGTCTGTCTCCCCGTTTTGCCCCTGAAGAGACTAAAGGGTTTGGTCATGTCTGCCTCTAGGCAGTGAGACATACTCGAGTCCCCAGATGGAGGGTTCTCGCTTAGAATGAAGAATGAAGCCGTCTTACTTAGCTGAACCCAAGGTTGAGGGGACGTGAGGCCCACAGTTCATGATCAAGGCACTGGGGTGCTAGTGAGCACCGCCTTCCCCACCTGTCCCCACACTTCTGGTTTCTGACTGTAATGAACAAATCCTTCAGCAGTCACTAGTTCAAAGTGTTCGCTACACTTTGTAGGGAATACCTAGACCTAAAGGTGTGATCAGCTGGCATTGTCCATGCCAGGACTGCTGCACAAGCTGGCTCATCTGACCACCGAGCTTCCTCCACCAGGTCCCTTATGTTCATCCCTTAAAGGAGCCACTGTTACTGTCCCCGCCCCCCCCCCAACTCAGCCATTGAGGCTACAGTGACTTGCAGAGAACAAGGCTCCAGGCCCAGGTCCTCCCACCATGGCAGGGCATACTTCCTAACCTGATGACTAGAGCCAGGTCACCTAAAGGTGACAAACACGCAAGGGACATACTGCCCAGGTCAGCTGGAAGGATATCTGTGGAGTATACTGGGTGCTTTTTATTCCACCAGCCTGGTTCTGGGAGCTAGTCAACTGTAGTTTTGGCATGACTCCACTTTCAAACCTCTGCCCCAGGGAGGATAGGGCACCCACCCCACCCCCCACCCCTGCCAAACACTTTTCTTCTGGGGCTTGGGGTATAACACTGACTGAAATCACAAGGGGACACTCAAGGTAGCTTATCAGTGTTAGGGGGACAGGGTCTTTGACTGGACACCATTTGAGGGCTTGGAGTTTGCAGTCTCCTGACTCCACCAAACAAAATGTCCTCTTGGTCTCGAAAGAAGTGTGTTGGCTCCTTATGTAAACACGGGGTGGAGACACATCCAGCCCCACTCTTAGAAGTGGAATAGCTGGGTCAAGGCTGCCCCCACATCACCCCTTCTGTTTGTGGAATGGAGTATCACCAGAACCAGACAGATTATAACCCCAACCCCTGGTGGTCCAATTTGAGTGACTAAGATGGGAGAACCCTACAATCTACATCAGGAAGGACAAAAGGAACCCAGGCCACTAGGATTGAGAATGTCTTCTAGGATAGTCTGGTGGACAGGCCACTGGACACCAGAAAGTGGCAGTAACCTTAACGCCAGGTCTCTTCACTATTTTATTTTTTAGACAGGATGTCAGTACCCCAAGCTGGCCTCACACACTCCACATAGAGCCAAGGATGACTGTGAACATCCGATGCCTTTGTCTCCCGACTGTTGGAATGCCAAGTGCTTTCCACCAAGCCCAGTCTTTCTCCCTCTTATCCTTGCCTCTGGGTCACATCATGAGCCTTGGAGTTCTTCCAGAGTCTGAAATGGGGGCCCCATGGATTGCCAGCTAAGAGTGCACACGAAGACGTGAGGGGCTACTGCTAAAGGAAGCCACGTTTCAGTGTTTAGGCTGCACCTGTGGCTTATTCACCACTGAGCTGTGCCTCTCACCCATGGAAGGAGGGCAGGGCCACTTGATTTACGTCTGGGGAGACTGAAAGCCCCTCTCCTTCAGAATCTATGCCTGCCTCCTGCCGTAGATGGCAGGACACCTCTGTCCAACTTGGTCCTGTACTGGACGGCTCAACCTTTGAGTAGTCTTGCTGCGCTAGCCTAGCATGTTCCTGCAGCCCCCTTAGATTGGAGCTGAGACAGAACTTCGTTCAGCAGTGTTATCTCTACTACACACACACACACCTTTACAGCAATAATGCCGACCCTAAAACATGGCCAGTGCAACTAACAGCGTCTCTTTATGCTTAATTTGGATCTAAATAGCCACACCTGCATGGGCTTTGTACTTGACAGCCTCGCGTCTTCCCGAGCCGCTCTGCACCACCTGGCCACGGTACAAACCAACCGGAGGACTCACGAGGGAATCGCGTCAGCGGAACCACAAGAATCATTCCCGAAGTAAGAGGACCGACTGCCAAGGTGCCGCCGGCGTCCCTGGGAAAGCGACGGTCCCGCCTCCAAGGCTGTCCTCCGAGCCGTAACCAGCGAGCGCAGAGCGCAAGCTGAGGACGCGCAGCCGCCCCGGGTGTTCCAGCCTCGCTCTCCGCTGCAGGGCTCGTACCGCTCCGGCGCACAGGCCCCGGGGCCGTACACAGCGCCCCCGGCGGCGGCCGAGCCCAGCCCGAGCGGGGCGGCGCACGGCGCGGGGCCGGGCCGGGCGGCTCCCGGCGCGACTTCCTGTTGTGCCCGCGCCCCGCCGCCGCCGCCACCGCCACCGCCACGGCCGCCACCGCCGCCCGGGGTCCCTCGCCCACTGCCCGCGGCCTGCAGCGGCCGCCGCCCATGGATTTCACCTAGCGCCGGTGGCCATGGCGGCACAGTGCTGCTGCCGCAAGGCGCCCGGTGCCGAAGCGGCACCCGCCCGCCCGCCGCCCGAGCCGCCGCCCGCCCTGGACGTGGCCTCGGCCTCCAGCGCGCAGCTCTTCCGCCTCCGCCACCTGCAGCTCGGCCTGGAGCTGCGGCCCGAGGCGCGCGAGCTGGCCGGCTGCCTGGTGCTGGAGCTGTGCGCGCTGCGGCCCGCGCCCCGCGCGCTCGTGCTCGACGCGCACCCGGCCCTGCGTCTGCATTCGGTCTCGTTCCGCCGCGCCCCTGCCGCCTCCGAGTCGCCCTGCACCTTCGCCTTCCCTGTCCCCGGGTTGGGGCCCCCGCTGCCCGCTTTCGCAAATATGTCTGACGCGGAGTCCGCCGGCTGCCCTCTGGCCTTCAGGTTGGACCCATTCACCGATTATGGCTCCTCGCTGACCGTCACACTGCCCCCCGAACTGCAGGCGCACCAGCCCTTCCAGGTCATCCTGCGCTACACCTCCACGGACGCCCCCGCAGTGAGTCCCACCCGGGTGGGCGTCAGGCCGGTGGGTGGTCGGCGGGGCTCTGCAGGCACCCCTCGCTTTACTGCCGGGTCAGGTGATGTTAATCCGCACCCTGCTTCTGGGACATCTACAGGGGAGCGAGGGGCAGCCTGGCCCTGGAGTCCTCCCCAGGTACCCACAGTAATTCCCAGATGTTTCCTGCAAGTTCCTGGGACCTTTGAGTGGAGCCTCAGGGCCAGCCCCGGTGGACAGTAGAGCTACTCAATAGCATGTTTCTTGTGGGGGGGGGGACTTCCCATCAGGGGTTACGCCCCTATCTGGGTACAAGAGCAGCTTCTGGTGGCCCCTTGCTAAGCCTGCTGTAAGATTCCAGTACTGAGGGATCTTCTGGGAGTGTCTACAGAAGGGTCAGCCTATGACTTGGCCCTTCAGATGACTTGAGGACACCCGGCTCTGTTCTCTACAGGTGGAATGAGAAACAGTAGGTGGCACAGAGGCCTTCCTTTGTAGCCTGTGATTCTTGGGCTTTTTACTCCCCGAGCTGGGTTGTGACATGCTGGGGCAAGTGCGCCCCGCCTCCCAGTAGATACTCAGGGCTCTACTGAGGCTTTCTGTACAGGGTGCCCACCATCCCGCAGGCCCTGATGGGAAAGCAAAGTGTCGGGCAAGGGCCGTGGCAGCACAACCAGTGGGTTTGCAGACTGGAACAGGACCTTTGACTCCAGAGGCACGATGCCTCCCTCCGGCTCCCCAGGCAGTAGAGCGCTCATGTGACATCTGCCATGGCTACATAGCACGCAGGCAGCTCTGCAGGGCCCTTGGAAAGTCCATCTGCCACGACCTGGGGAGCACTAATAAACAGGCCAGTGGCCGCAAAGGAACAAGGTGACCTCTGGGCAGCAAAAGACCAGATGGGATTCACATCTGCGGGCTTCCTGCACCCTTCTCGGGAGTTTTGATTGGCACGTGCCACCTCTTCCCAGAGTCCCTGCCACGTGCTGGCACCTGGTCTGTTCGGCTTCTCCCTCTGTCTGCCGTGGTCCTGTGGGGCCTCTGCAGGTACTGGGACTGCTTTTTAGCATGTCCGATGAAAACTGAGGGGCAGTCTGCTTCCTGGCTTCTGCCTGCGAATATGCACCATATGTGCTTGCTCTGCTCCTTGACAGCAAAGAGGTGGGAGCGGAGCCCTCATTGGACTGCAGTAGACAAGACTAGTGGGCAAGGGTGGCCCTGACGTGTGGGGCTGTGGCGCTGCAGGGTCCTCATGGACAGGGCCTCCAGAGGGACAAAGCTCACCCACACTCGTGGAAGCAGATTGGCCCCTAACCTCAGGCACCTACTGTTTGTTGCACCTGAGCATTGAGCGGCTCAGGGCTTACATCTGTGTCTGCCCCGTGCTTAGTGAGGATGTAGCAGGAGACCCTACTCCAGGGGCGGCAGATTGGAGGTGCTACAGATTCTAGGGCTCCTCTGCACCCCAGCCCTTCTTTCCCACCCCTACAAGAACAGCTTTTTTCCTGCCCGTCAGTATCTGAGTTGGTTGACCCATTCCTTATCCATCAATCAGCTGCTGTGCTCTGGGACAGGAGCCTTCCACCTTTGGGGCAGGGCTCAGTCCATTCCATCCCTCTGATGTCTGGGAAAGGCAGCCTGCCCACTACATAGAGTGAGAGGTAGGCAGAGCCTGGGGGTTCAGTGGAAGAGGAGCGGGTTGTACTGCTCTGAAGTGTAGCTGGTATAAGGGGAGAAGGTAGAGACTGAAGAGCATTTGGGAGTATGTTCTTCAAAAGTGGATCAAGAACCCACTCTCAACAGGATCCACTGCAGGAACAATCCTGCATTCAGGTCCCTGGGTCCCAGGCCCTGGAGGCTACATTTTGGAACTAGTTCCCCAGCAGAAAAGGAAGACACATCTGGAAATTTGCTGTGAGGAGAAGACAGTGATGGGGCAGACAGAAAGACTTTGGAAGAAGTCCATAAATGCTGGCAGAGACCTGACTATATGGCAAGCACCCACTCTGACAGGGAGCCTCCTGGGTGTTGAGTCTGTGGGGCAGGCATCCATCTCTAGATCTATTGGGACAGGGATCTCTCCCAGGTCTAGGATCTGTGGATTAGGCATACTTTCGGGTCTGCGGGGCAAGGCATTACTCCCTAATTCTTGGGTCTCTGGGAAAGGCACATCTAGGGTCTATATGAAGACAGTACCCCAGATCCTAGGGTCTGTGGCAGTTTCCACTGCCACCACCCCCAGTCTGGGGTCTGTGGGCAAGCACTTACCTTCGTCCCCAGCTCTAGAGTAGGCAGTCAAGGCCCCCGGCCTGGGGTCTGTGGGGGCAGGCATTCCACACAGCTCTGGGGTCTGAAAGCAGGCATTTCTTTCTGGGTCTGGGATGGATGACTCCACACACACACTAGGTCTGCGGAACAAGCAGCCCCACCACCATCCCTCATCAGGGGTCTGGGAGCTGTCAGCCCCTCTGACTCTTGGCTCTGTTCCCCATAATGACAGGCAGCCTTGGCGGAACACTTGTCCACTAGTGGAGAAGTATGGGGGGGGGGTTTCCTATCTGTGATTCCCTAGAGGACCCATATGCCCTTGATCACCAGAACGAAAAATTCACTTTGTTTCAACTTTCCCGCTGTCCTAGCAGAGGGTAGCTTGGGGCAGACTCTGCTTTGTAGCTGGAACTCCTCAGTGGGGCGGGACCTGGTCTGGACATCTGAAGATTCAGAATGTCTCAACAGCCATGGCTGGGAAGGAGGTTGGCTAGGCCAGGGACCTAGAGGGCAGACAGAGTGGGTGGCAGCAGTTACTGGGGATTGCTCTTTGCCACAGCCCTCTCCCCGTGCACTGACCTCGGAGTCCTTCCCCTTAACACTCCTGTCATATCAGAGCTCCATATCTAGCCTCCGCTCTGGCCAGCACTGGGGCTGACCCCTCTATGCCCCTCTACACCCCTCTATGCCCATGTAAGGAAGCACTTGTTTCCCATGTTTCCCTGTTCCTAAGTTCAGATTAGCTACCAACCTGTGGGAATTTGAACCCAGGCACTCTGACTGTTCCTCATTTCCCCTTTGGAAGTTCAGCTAATTCCATGGTGGGCATTTTCCTCTTTTCTCAGGCAGTGCTGGGAGACACCGTGGGCTGGCTCCAGACATGTGGCCTCCTGTCTGGAACAAGGTTGCTTGGTGTGTCTGGCACACAACAACAAACTGGGTTGACAGTTCCTGCCAGGGGAGGGGAGTGAGTGTGCCAGGCGGGCAGGTGAAGGCTGCAGGAGCAGCTGTGGACCTGTAGCGAACACAGCGAGAGCCCTGGACCAGGTGACAGCGTGTGCTTATGTTTCCCCTTGCCCGCAGATCTGGTGGCTGGACCCAGAGCTGACCTATGGCAATGCCAAGCCTTTCGTCTTCACCCAGGGCCACTCTGTGTGCAACCGCTCCTTCTTCCCATGCTTCGATACGCCCGCCGTCAAGTGCACCTACTCAGCCGTTGTCAAGGTCAGAATCGCGGCTGGGGTTGTTTCTGCTTTCTGTGGGCATTGTAAGAGGCTGTCGCTTACAGCAAGCCTGCAGATGAGTTCTGGCCCACCTCCTTGCACTCTTCTGCCCAGACTAGGACCCCAGCTGCTAAAGGTCATTGTCCTAGTGGGACAGTCACGCAGAGAAGCCAGAGACAGGCCTTATGGAGGTTGGGTGCAGGGACCACGGTACAGCACCAATGAGGATATACTTGATAGTTGGGTTCTGGGACCTCTGGATCCACAGGAACCTGATGGGGTTTCTTGAGTTAGAGCCAAAGCATGGCAACTTTGAACTGAGAAAATTTGGGGTTCCAATGTGTGGTCTTCTGAAGGGGACACAGTTTCTGTGAGGTTGTGAGGGCTTCCTTATGGATATGGGGTTCCTCAACCTGGATTGTGGTGGTGCCGTCTGGATGATGGAGAGCTCCCTGATGGGGCCATAATGTTCCCTGTCACAGACACGGGGTCCTCTGACTTGAGTTGTCTGATGAGTCATCCTTCCGAAGTGTGGTTCCCTTTCCTGGGAGGTGGTTGCATCCTGTAGGCTGCCAGTCCTCAGCCTAGCCCCTTGCAGGCCCCACTAGGGGTACAGGTGCTGATGAGTGCGACGCGGAGCGTGTACGTGGAGGAGGAAGGCGTCTACCACTTCCACATGGAGCATCCTGTACCTGCCTACCTCGTGGCTCTTGTGGC